ATGGCGGGATTTAGAGATCGTGAAAAGAAGCATTTCCCGTTAACCAGTACTTCCTCGGTGGTAGCACTCTTCAGGGATCAACTTGAAGGACCCAATGAACCGAATCTAGCTTTCCTGTCAATTACGTTAGGTTGTGTTGAAAATGCATTGACTTTAAACAGAGCAGCGCCAGCAGCTGAGGATTCGGCGTTGCTGCAACCGATCTTTCCAGTCGTGGACTTGAATATGATCGAGACTTTGTACAGAAAATTTGAGACTTTGGTGAAGGGATCAGTAGATCTGACAAAATATCCTTGTAAATATTCGAACAGAGACTTGGTCAAAAAAATCTCTGACGTTATTTGGGCTTCGCTATCTAGGAGCTTTAAAGACAAGGCACACTTACAGTCGTTGTATAGTCTACTAACGGGTAAGGAAGATTATAACCGGTACGAATGAAACAATTGCAGAATGTTTACCCTGGAGACGTTATCGTTAGTGATTCATGATTAAATTAATGTCATGACTCATCATTTTGAAAGAATAACGGCTTTAACAAATGTGAACATTGCATCGTTTCAACTAGTATATTCGGAGGTGCTATCTTTGGACGTCTGCAGTACATTTCATTTTTATTATCACTAGGTTGCTGCTGTAGGGTAAAGGGTGAAAGTAAACGCTGTTTCTTCTGTTTCGTTTCCAGAAAAGTTAGCCTGTGATTGCTACTCATGTAATAAGATTTGGTATTGGTAAGAAGAAATATTCAGTTATTTTCAAATAACTAGTGGGTATTGAAGCTTAGATTGGTCAGACTACCAGTTTAGTCATGTTAGGTAGAAGTAGAAAAACTTAGCTATCAATTTTAATAAAATTTTTATTAGTATACACTTACTCTTACAACAGCTGAGTTTTCATTGTTATAGACTTACAGTTATTTTACAGATTAAGCTATGACTACTTTTTGTTTCTGTCTCTGTTAGTATCTGTAAAAAATAATTTGTATAAGTATAACTGGTAGTTGAAAAAAAAAGCCTCTGTGAGTGTGTATATTTATTTATATAGGAAAAAAAATTGTATTGATAAAGTATTGATTGAATGAGCTGGAAAGAAATAGATAAAATAGGACACACAAGTTAATAAATTACAAAATACCACAATTATAATCCACCATTTAAAATATACTTTTTTCTCTCCAGGAAATAAGCTAGATTGCTTTGGTGTGGCATTCGGAGTTGTGGCAGCTGCACAGATGCTTGGTTGCAATGACATTCACCTGGCTCTATCAGAAGACCACGCTTGGGTGGTTTTCGGTGAAGATGGAACAGACACGGCAGAGGTTACCTGGCATGGTACTGGAAACATTTTGTCTGTTTATGGCTATAGTTTATGCAGCTGTAATGTCAGATGTATACTATTGTATGGAGCTGAAACATTTTAGTTACTACAATTTTTAAAAAGGAATAGAAAGAATTAAATTGTGTGACAAAATCACTAATCTGAAGCTTTAAGAGAACTAAATTACATTAAATCAAGAGGTGAGGAAAGGATGAAGGCATTAGATAGGACACACATTGAGAAAACCTGTTAATGATGTAACAAGAATGTCATGGCACTTGAACCCACAGGATTATAGACATAAGGGGAGGCCAAAACAGCACATGAAGAAGAGGTGAAAAGGATAGGGAGGGCAGACGTTGACTTGTAGATGTGAAGGATTGGTTTATGTGGTTTGAGAGCATATGCTCCATTGGAAGATAAAGGACCAACAAAAAGTAAAGGACCCTTTTTTCATATCTTTAGGCATATTGGGCAAAAGCTATATATCATGTACCAGTCGGCACTCAGTGGATGATGTGGACAACATTACGCCAGCACCTTGCATGACTTTACCTGCTATCCATTTATGGCTGGGTCGACCTGGCTGCCAAATTTATTTTTTGAAAAAGGTCCGGTTCTATTTGAACTCATGAATTTCATATCCACAGTAGAGAAGCTGTGCATATTGTACAGGCTAAGATAATGAGTGCTAGAGAACCCTTGCGGCCATGAGATTAATCAGATAAATCCATTCTGTCCCAGACTCCATTGTTACTTAAGGGGGCAGAGAAGATCAGTCGTTTCAGTATCTACCTTTTGGCTCAAGCACCCCTGGTTCAACTCTTATTAATGCAACAGTTTGAAGTTTTGCTTTTTGAAGAAAAGGTGGTATTTAACAGTGGTCCAGATGCCACCATCTATGGAGATACCCATGAATAAAAATTGATATTTTACAACCCAAAGCAATTGTTGCTCAGAAGTTAATAATTACCTGTGCTCATTAAATGTTTTAGCCCATGCTTGTGAATCATCGTAACTTTCCATTGCATAGTTGACTTACCATGTGCTGCTCTTTAATTTTATATATATATCTGCATAGATAGGTTTATGGAAATTTTTCTTAAGTATTTTGTCCTTTATGAAAGTGCATGAGGCAAGAGAGCTGGCGAGAGACTGAGTTTCTTTCAGGCAGACCGTGATGAGAGCGACGTTCGGCAAAGGACCTGCTACATGATGATGATGATTATTTTGTCCTTGGTCTTCTCCTTCCTCTTTTTTCCCAATCTTATGTATTCAGTTATGTATTTCTTTTTCTAAACCCTGTTGCCCTGAGAAAGCGGATGTTTCAGGCATTTATGGGTTTTTGATGACATGAAGTCTCTGGGCGGTGGCCACTACACCTATATGACAGCTTTAGTGCTGGTTGTAACTACATAGTGTAGGTAGGCGGGTTGTACCCAACCAGGACATCACACAAGCGATAAAGACCCAGTGACACAAAGTGCCACCTTGCGGATGAGGATCACCTGTGGAGAGGTCCCAGAAACTCTGTTCAGCCGTTAGGCCATATTTAAAGCCCGGCTGTATTTAGGGCTCTCAGCAAAATCGAGGGTGGGGCTTCAAAAAAACTAAAAATTGCATCCCACATGGGGGCGACAGATTACTATAACAACTGCATAGTGTATAGACATGGTGAGTATGATTCTTTTTACCCACAATCAGAAAAAGCAAAAGGAATTTGTAGATTGAAAAAGTCATATTTTTAAAAAAAAGTGTGATGTCATTATGTCATAATTTATTATGACATCACTTTACTCAAGATGACTAATTTTTTAAAAATGTAAAAAAAAAAGTTTATCATGGTCAAAGGGAAGGAAAGCAGTAAATTCTTTTCTTTTTTCGTATTTAGTGATTAAATAATAAGAATGAATCTATTATGGCTAAGATCCAAACCCGCACCATTAATGTGTGTTATTTGGCCAGTGCCACAATGCATTGGTCAGCAGATGACAAAAAGCTGTCATTTTTTTTTTCAGCTAGTGAGAATTGTTTTGTTACATATGTATAATTTTTGTTACGTATGTATAATACAATCAGTCTCATTATTTAATGGCTAGACTATGCAAGCTCAGTGGTGATACATGTGTCAAAAATTACCAGCTTTTAGTGATGACCACACATGACCATGGGAGCAGTGATGTTTAGCAGAAGTTACGAGTTTCTCAGATTGATTTCTAACCACCTCACTTTAATTATTTACCACAATCGGTTACACACCCAATCAAGAAATATGTTTTAGCACTTATCTTCCGTGACTTTTACTTTTTTTACTCAATAAGGTAAAGGCAATGAGGATAAGAGGGGACAGTCAATTGCTCTGAGTGTGGCAGAGAAGTCATGGTTGTATTTGAACGGACATCCTGTGATCTGTGATCGTGCAATGGAGGTGGCAGCACTCGTGTCTGCAGCCAATCCATCCATTAATGTGACTATGGACAGCATTGAAATGGGAGCACTGCAGCAGGTAATGTGTTGTCTTTTCATCTAGAGAGACAGGCTCAGTTTTTGTTGAAGAGTGGGAGAAAATTAAAACCCAGAGCAAGGCAACGATTGGAACATTTCCCATTCAGAACACAATCCTGAAGACTTATTCAACCTCCTGACAGAAAAGCAACAGACACTTGTATTTAGATTGCTTTCAAACTGGACACAACAGACTCTTGAGGCAATCTTTATACAACAGATTCAAGATTCAGAACAACCCTCAGGAAAAACCTTCCTATCCTGAGCAAGATGTCCTGCGTCTTACACCCATCTGGAGATCATCTGCCACATCCTGCACCCATACTTCTCCTTGGCCTTCCTCTTCCTCTCTTCCCAGGCATATACCCCTCCATTATTGTTCTCTCTAGACTTCCATGACGTTTCAAGTGATTTTCTTTGTTTTATTGTCTTTATAGCCAACCCTCTTCAATATTCAGCTCTTGAAGTATGGATGCATTTGTTCTTTTCTTTACCCAAGATATTCTTAGAACCTGTCTGTAACATTTATATGATTCAAGATTAGGGATTCAGAATTTTGTCTATGTGGGCAGTTGCTACAAAATACATAACATATGCTGCAGACATGCTCTGTGCATACTGTACGGAGATCCCTCATCTGGCCACTTAGGATTTTGGTGGAAACCAGGCTGTGTGGATCAGTGTAGGACACGCTTCACACCACAAACTTTATAGAGGCGTGTGGCTTTCTCGTCTGAAGACCACTTGCAAAGAGAATGAAAAGAAATTGAAGTGTGTTTCAGTGTGGCAATGGTCATAGAGGCAGTTACCATTTATCCAGTCTGATTCTTCATTTAGCTATTGCAGTTACTTTTGTTAGAGTATGCTTCACAGGAGGATAACACCAAGAGATGGACAAACAGCAGTCTTGGAGAGTGTATCTGTTGTAGCCTGCCTTCACCTCATTGAATAATTATAAAGTTCAAACTGATTGTGTATAAATTGAAATGCATTATTTAATTATTATTTGTAATTTTGTAAAGCTCTGTGTTTTCCAGCTGTTAAAATAATTCAGTTAAAAAAAATAATTGTGAGTTAAGCAGTGCTGAACATAAATAACTAGAAAATTGACATCATGTGGTTCTTTGTCAAAGCCTCTGTGGTTAGTTTAAATTACAGTATTGATTGATTGATTGACTCTACAAGAGCATCATTTTGCCAGTTCTTCTTTATGGAGCGGAATGCTGGAGAATGACCAAAAAGGATACACACAAGCTGTCCACCTTCTACCACACATGTCTACGTAGAATTATCAAACTTTTCTGGCCAGATACAATCTCAAATACTAAACTATTTCAAGTCACAAGCCAAGAAACTCTATACAGTATGATAACCAAGAGAAGATGGAAATGGCTTGGCCACGTTATGAGAATGACTTCTGATATACCTCCCAAAACAGCTCTCACATGGACACCAGAGGGAAAGAGAAAACAGGGGCGCCCAAAAACAACATGGTGACAAACGATGGAAAGTGACCTAAGTGCGGCATCTTTGACATGGAAAACTGCACTGAAGATTGCACAGGACAGGAAAGCATGGAAAGCCCTATCTGAAGCCTCATGTGCCACTAGGCATAACGAGAACTGATGATGATGATTGATTGATTGAAATGGTTTGGATGTGTAATTTGAAAAAAATTGATTCTTCCGTAAATAAAATGTTATTTAAGATTAGCCAGGGTCAGAGACATGATTTGAGGCTGCGTCTGGTTTCATGACACATGAGTTTTCATCGTTATAACTTATCTCTTGCAACTTATCTCTATAACTGTTTGGTGGAAAAAATATCTGCAAATATCGGAGTGACTGTTGATCTGAACTACTGTATAGTATAAAAGTGCACAATTAAAGACCATATTATATGTAACGTATTGCAGAGGGCTTATTTTCTGATAGGAAGCCGTCGTGGTATAGCAGCTAGATGCTCACCTGCAGATGTGAAGGTCGTGGATTCGTGGATTTTTTCAGAAATTACTTTGGCTTCAAGATCAACCCAACCTCAAATGGGTACCAGGTTAAAAAGTCATGGGAAGTAAAGGCTGCTGGCGTGATGGTGACTACATTCCCACCAAATGTTGATTTGTCTATAAAATATAGGTCTATTCCTGTAGACCCAATATCCCTGACGTCGTATAAAAGGGTTCTTTACTTTATTCTTTGATAAACTAAAAGGGCAGCAGCAGAAGAAAAGTATTTGTTGCCACAGTGTCAGAAAGATAAGTTATTTAGTCTTTCCTCTTGTGCCTATGGCGCGGCATCGAAATAATCAAGAATTTTTTTCCCAAATCTGCTTGACATTAAATTTACAGTTTTTTCTTCTTTGCTTAAGTATTTAAATCGCTTCAAGGGTAGGTGCACCACAAACTATTATTTTTTGCCTGACGAAGAATGTTTGAGAATTGCTGCATTAGCATATTGTTAGCCCGGTTTGGTGATGTCAGCAGCATGGTCCGTCAGCTGGAGCCGGTCTTGGTTCTACGCAAGGTCTCTCTTGGTCTTCCCTGTTGTCTTTTCCCTTCTGGTGTCCATTTGAGAGCTTGATGGGTTAGTCTGATCTTATACATTCTGAGTGCATGGTCGATGTAGTTCCTTCCAGTGGTGCTTTCTTATAAAATTGGATAGGTTATCTTATTTGCATATTGGATCTGAAATCTGTCCAGTGGAGATTTAGTATTCTTTTAAGAGATTTGTTATTTAAATTGTCCAGTTTTTAAATCTTAGCATCATAACATTTAGAGATAAGAATCTGATTCTGAAACTAAGGATATTTTTTTATGGGGACTGCTGTCGAGTCGTCTATCAACAGTCAAGCTATAGGGAAACATGTCCTGCAAACTTGGCCCAAACTGGAAACCCAAAGAGATTAGTAGAGAAAGTAATTTTAGCCTATGTTGTTTTGTACACATGATAGACTCTTGAAGGGTCACTAACCTCATATTTACTTTTTTTTTTTTGCTGCCTGCCCCTTTAGCCCTCATAAGAGAACAAGCCTTCAGAAATACAGTATTTAACTGCATAAACCTGAGCATGAGTGCTGACTTGACATGAAAGATAAAGAGAGAGAGATGAGCAAGTCATTTGGGGATGAATTGTTTGCTATGTACAAGCAAAATAATTTCCTTTGTTGAATAGTTTTTTTCCCCCCACTGTTTCTTTACAGGAACTTTTGTGGTTATTATATGACAAAGATCATTTATCCAGGTAAGTTATAATTGGTCATATTTTTATACCATTTGTTATGTGCTTTGAGGTTTGGATCAACATTATTGCACATTGGTAGTAACCCATAAGTGCTCCGTTCTACTTCTAACTCAAATCTGAGTCAAAAGAAGCTTAGTACAATGCAAAGGCTCTTTAGCACCGGCAAGGATCCTGAAATACTTTGGGTAGATTTTTAACTCCAAAATTTTGTCCCGGCAATGCGTTTTAGGCTACTCTTTTTGATTTCCAACTTCCAAGGAATTTTTTACCTGCTCAATAATGCACACGGGCGTCCAATCTCACTACCCAGAGACCAGGGGGAATTACTAGAAATTAAAGTCCACATGAACAAATCCTAGCCCTTACTGGGTATTAAACCCAGAACCTCTAGCACTCGAGGCAGACACCGTGTCTCAAGACCACGCAGCAGATATGTGCATCATATGGGATGATTTCATAAATAATAAACACTTTTAATTAAAATACACAGTTTGTGTATTCTTTTATATGATTGGGTTTTTGAAATTGTGAAATGTAAAGGATGCCTGTGTGTTGATAGCAGGGCCCAGCCTACCATGCATGTCATTAAAGGCATCTAAAGAGGATTGGCATGAGAAATGAGACTGGCTACCTCAGCCTGAAGAAAATCGGTTGTGAACAAATTTCCACAGGTTTTAAACTGGAGAGAATCAGCTGTCATCATCATTATGTAGCAGGTCTTTTGCAGAACGTCGCTCTCATCACAGTCTGCCTGAAAGAAACAAGGTCTCTCGCCAGCTCTCCTGCCTCATGCACTTTCACTCTCAAGGAGTCACTTATATCCTGTGCCTATCTTCGTGTCGGTCGGCCCCTGCCCCTCCTTCCTGGTACCATGCCTTCAGCTATAATTTTTTCCAATTACGTCGTGGCGCTTGATATGACTAAAATATTTCAGCTTTTGAGAAATAATGCCTTTTATTAGTCAATCTTCCTTGATTTTCAGATCTTTTAAGATGTCAGTATTTCTCATCTTCTTTGTCCAAGATATTCTGAGAATCTTTTTATAGCATTTCAGCTCAAAAGCCCCTACTCTCTTTCTTAAGGACTGGGAGATAGTTCACGACTCACATCCATATGTAGCCACAGGGAAGATGCATGCCCTCAAAATTCTAATTGTTATCTCCTTGCTGGTGCTTAACCATAGACTTTTAAGGCTGTTTAATCTTTGCATGGCCATCCTCCTTTTAATTTCTGTCGAACAGTCTCCACTGTTGTTTATTATAGAGCCTAGATATTCACAGTTTGTGACATTTTCAATTTCTTCATAATTTATTGTTATTTTTGGGTGAGAGCCAGAAACCCGCTTGTGCTTCATCTAGCTCATATTGTAATTTACTTTCAATCCTTTTCATGATAATTTGAATCAGCTGTATTAAACCATTTTATCCTTCATGGCTTCGTCTTTCTCCAAACTGCCACTAGCTGCTTGCCGATAGCCTTGCATAGAGCACAGATTCCATAGCTTCAGTGACAATTCCAAGGAATTTCTGTAAAAAAGTAAAGTGCACTCATGAACTAAACGACGCTGTACGTAAAATGAATCTAGAGCTTTCGAAGAGCGACACAAATAGCTTCACCATTTTGCCTCAATAAGCACCAAAGGACTTTAGTTGGTTTTATGCCTGTGCTCCTTTAGAAGATGGAAGGCAGAAGGAGAAGAAAACAAATGATACATAGACACAACCAATGTCCTTTTCCAGACAGATGCAGATGGAGTAAAATCTAAGTTAACTCGTACCAAAGCCATGACTTGTGTTGATATAGGTGATACATGTCTTAAATAATTCAATTCTTTGATCTGTTTGCATACAGTAGACAGTCTGCTTATTGAAGTGACAGTGATCAGTCATTCTTGTTATAGCATTTTGTTTAAAATAAACATAAGCAGTTAAATAATTTTTTTTTTTTTTTTAAACATTAGGAAAATCACTTGTTAGGTAGAACACTTGTAGAAGCAGGATATTGAAGACAAAATATTTAATTTAAAGTGTTACAAACATTTACATTTTATCTTTTATCTATTCTTTTCCTTTATGCCCTACAAAATCAGTATATGAGTTCTGAAATGTTCTATTTCTGGACTCTTCCCCCCCCCCCCCCCCCCCCCCCCCCCCATCACAACTCAGTTGATTCCCTTATTTCCTCTCTGGGTTCTGGAGTACCCATTGTAAGGGGGGGGGGGGGGGGGGGTAGACTCACTGCCCTCCTAACAAGCATTTTGTAAAAGTCAACTAATTAATTATGTTTCTTTCAAAGCCAGAGTGCATCTACCTGAGAGGCGAGGAACCAACAGTTTGCATACAGATAAGCCAGATATGTAAAATGGATGTGCTTGCAAAATTCAAATTATGGAACAAGACTAAAATCTAGAAGTGAATGAAAAACTAGGACTTTCCGCCGGAGTTTACAGCCAGTGAACTTGAAGAGAAAGAAGATTCTATTAAGCTATTTATCTATTATGCTGTTCATCTATAAAGCTGTTCATCTGTAAAGCTGTTCTTCTATTATGCTCTTAATGAGTTTTGTATGGGAGTGGTTTTCTTCTGTACCATTATTTCTGAGTGATAATGATGTCTCGTGGGTGTTATACCATGTCATCGAATAATTTGATACTATATTAAACAGTTAGTCAAATGTGATTTCATACTGTCATATCAGGTACCCAATGGCTTTAGGAAATCTGGGTGACCTGGAAGAAATCTCTCCTACTCCGGGTCGCCCTCCACCCATGGCCATTTTTAACGAAGCCATATCTTCAGCTGTGAAACATTACGACAAACATCATGTGTATCCATATACATATATGGGCGGATACTTATACCGTAAGCGTCGCTACAAGGAAGCTATCAAGTGTTGGGCGGAAGCAGCCAATGTTATTAGAAAGTAAGTGGTAATTGAATCAGCTAAAATTAAAGGATATTTGAATCATTCAGTACTAAGCAACTCGTCATATATGTAATGATTATTACTTCCTCTTCTTTGTTTTCAGTCTAGAAAAAAAAGAATAGTTGGCACATTGTGTTATAGTTTACAGCTAGGCTGTGATATCTGTGACTTTTGGCCCAACATATCTTATGTCAACAAACCCCTAATTTCTCATCTTTAAGGGCTCCCTTCTTGTGATTTGGGGGGGGGGGGGGGAGGTAAATAGATCCACTGCCTTTCTAACAAGGACGTTATGAGAGTCAACTAATTAACTAATGAGAGGTTTCCTCCGAAATCGGAATGCATCCGAAGAGACAAGAAACCAACAGCCTGCATATCACTAAGCTAGATCTGTAAACCGATGTGCACTTTAGGGGCTAGAACAACAAAAATACCCATTCCCAGGGTGTGCAGGGACATTTATGCTTCAGGTTGTACAGCGACGTGTATGCTTCAGTTCGCCCTTACAACAATGTTTTGGCACATTGTGTTATGGTCTACAGTAAGCCGATGATATCTGCATCTTTTGGTCCAATACGTCTGATTTCAGCATTGTTGTTTATGACGTGCTTGTTAAGTAGCAGTGGGGCAATTTCTCCCCACCCTCCCCCAGCCCCCTTTACACCCAGAATAGGGTTCTGGAACATACACTGGGAACACATTTGATGTTTTAAATAAAACACTCATTCGCTTCTTCTGTTTCTAACCAGGTTCAACTATACCAGAGAAGATGAGGAAATCTATAAAGAGTTTCTAGAAATTGCTAATGAACTTATTCCAAATATTGTGAAGTCAGTGTCGGTGCAGACGTTAGATCGTAGCCAGATGAACATCTTGTACAATCCTGAGGTATATGCAGACATTCTTCGTTTCTTTGATGGAATTTGTGAATGGGAAGAAGGCAGCTCTACACCCGTGTTACACGTGGGGTGGGCTCAAAACTTGACTTTTTCTCTTAATAAATTTGACCCACGAACTCGAGCTAAAATTGATGTTGGAAGAGATGAAGATGACAGTGATAGTGATGATGAAGATGATGATGATGAGAAAAGTGAAAATGATGAAAATGACAATGAAAACAATAGTAGGTTTAAAGATGAAAGTGATTCAAAGGTTGAAAGCGAGTGCAAGTTTGTTAAAACCCAGGATGTGAGTGATCCGTTGCAAGCTGTTGTAGAAGAATTGAAAAAAGAAAACCTGCAGTTATCTCCTCCTCGGTCTCATGTTGTGGGTCAGCATGTGACTGCTAGAGGTCGCAAAGGTCAGCGGAGAAGAAGCTCCAATGCTGCAAAAGACGGCAGTTCCAACACAGGATGGGGAGAACCGGGGAAAAGGCTTAATGGCGACGAACATGTGAAATCTCAGCAGAAGATCAAATCTACTATAGAGGAGCTGGCTTGCAAGGTTGGACAGCAGGAGAGCGGCCAGGACACAGTTCCAAACCCCAACATCACTGCCCTGGCGCAGCAGTGCAGTCTGAACATTCTCAATAAGGAGTATCTTCTCGGAGCCGGTGAGCCCTTTTCTTCATCGTCAGCCTCCATCTCGTCTACTGTGTCTTCTGATGAGGCTTTTTCATCTACGCCCATCCCCATGGCTCATTACGCTGGTTCAGACTCTAAGCTTGATGTCGATGAGTTTTTGAGTTCCAAATCCAACGGGACAGCGTTTATTGGCCTCACCATGGACTCCATGTTGAAAGCTGAAAGTCCCGCAGATATGATGTTGACAATTAAACGTTCAGATGATGCTACATGCTCCTTACCCGTACCATCATCATCCCCGTCTCCAACATCCGAGTTGCTGGCAGCTTTTGATCCGGTCCAGATAGAATTTCGCAGTGAGAAAATGAAAGGCTTAAAAAAAATATTTAAATCGACCAAGCTGAACGCCAGTGCAATTAAACTTCAGCTCACAGCTCAGTCTCAGGTTCATGTTAAAGACTCCAGATTTTTGGAATTCTGCGAACCAATGGGATCAGCTCGGAAACGGCCTAGAAGAGAAATAATCTAGAAATATTGGGATCAAATATTTATCTATAAATGTTGAAAATAGTCTATAATCTTATTTACTTTTGTCAGAAAGAGGGAAAACAGTAATTTAGTTGGGTACTGTTTGTTAATTTTCCTTATTTTCACAAAGTAAATGATTATGGAGGTGAAAGAACAGAACAAAGAAAACCCACCTGTGATTATTTCACATAATTATCATCTTTTCTACAAAAGGATAGAAGTGTACCGCTAAATTTACCATTTTTGTAACAATGAGGTGCAAACTAAATAATAAAAACTATTAAATTGTTACAGAGTACAAAAGTATTCATGATTTATGGCAGTATATTGGCAAATGAATGCAACTCCAAATGCGTTTTTGTATGTGTTGTTCTGAGTTTTTTAACAGATTAAAAAATGCCTGTTTGTTTTTAATACCTTCAGTGCTGAAATCATGGTAGTTATATAACTTACCCACAAATCTAGTCAGCAGTTCTCACAAAGCAGGTGTGAACTTTATTTGAGTACATTTCTTTGAATCTGTGTTTGATCTGTTAATCATGACACAGCAGTAGTTAGCTATAAAAATAAATGTTTTTTAAGGTTACAATTTTTTTAGAACTGATTTATAAATTAACTTTATAGAAACTTTAGTAATGTTTACTGTGATAGCTGTATATGATATGTTTATGCTAATGAAACTGGTGGTAGTAAAAATATTTCTTGTTACATACCATACTGTGTTACTAAACAATTCTTGTAACATAATCATATTATAACAGTAATTTTTTTTTGTTTGATGAGTTTTCAATTTTGCTTTTGAATTCTTGCAAAAAAGAAAGCACAGAGGTAATTAGTTTATGTAACACAGAGATGGTTTTGCTAATACAATCCCAAAGATATAAAAATGAATCTCTGAAGTGGGGACAAATTCATTCATCTCCCTTCAGCCTTTCTAACCGCTAGTGGAGCCCAGGTCCTCAACCAACTCCCGCCAAGTCATTCTGTCCTTCGCTATTGCATGCAGCTCTTCACATGTCCTCCCCATCTATTTAACTTCACTCTGTGGCTTCCTTCTCCATGTGTTGTTTGGTCTTCCTTTATTTCTGTGCCTCTGTGGGTTCCAGTGCAAAAACATTCTAGTTATATTGTACTCAGGTTTTCTCGACGTGTATCACCAGCGTCTTTTCCTCACCTCTTGGTCCACTGGAACTTGTTTAGTTCTCTCCCAAGGTTCTAGCACAAATGCATTATGTAACAGCTACCATCCATTACTACCAGCCTAAAAGCAATCCGCAACACCCATCTGTAATCAGATTTCTTATCTTTGGCATTTTGTGTCTGTCTTTATGTTGTGCTTTAGAGAAACACCACCCATGGGGAGTGTGGCTAGCAAGACCGGTTCATGTTAATAAAACCTCACAGGATTTGAGCATCGGATTTCAGTACAATTGTTGCCTTCTACTTCTTCTGGAACTCTGCGTATATCTGTGTGTACTTCTTTTATCGAGCTTCTTCAGTATATTTGTATTTAGCTGTGTAAGGATGCAGTGTAATCAGTTATCTTGAACTTGGTGAAACAAAAGAAAAGGCTTTTTATTGATATGGATATCTGTGTGTGTCCTTCCTTTTATTGAGCATATAAAGATCAGCGTAAGCAGTTATCTTAAACTTGGTGAAACATAGAAAAAAGCTTCTTAAATATATATATCTGCATGTGTCATTTCCTTCATTGAGATGTAAAGAGGCAGTGTAATCAGTCATCTTGAACTTGGGGAAACAAGTCATATTACATGTCTGTTTGGTGAGTGTCAGCTCCTAGGTTGCCCCCTCACCGCAACATTCTTTCCAGACTGATGATATATTTCCTCTTCTGTATTGCTCACAAGCTCCCAAAGGGCCTGGAGACTGCTCCTTCACTGGACACATCAGCTTGTAATCGGAAATGACTGAAACAAATGGGGTGTCGTGAATTATGTATTCAGAGAACTGTTGGCCTTGTCTCTGTCAGTGTTGGTGCCACAGAGTTCAAGTTACCATTGGGACAGTATGATGTATCCTTGTCTCTAGAAGAGGCTCACTAGAGGGGGCTGTTGATATCATTAAATGGAAGGGGTAGTTGTATAGGTCACAACCAGAAACTGGTCATTTGGGCTTGTAAGTTTCTGGTGAAATAATTTTTTTTTAACTCACATGCCTATGTTACATCATGGTTGCTTTGTTGTTTAGACTAAATGTTCACACAGGAGTCACAAAAGTGACACATCCGTTGTTTAGATATGTGATGAATAGTGCATATTTTGGTTTTAAAATGAGTTTTTGCATATTGTCTTTCAAGTACACCCAGCTGTTTTAAATGCCATTATGGTGTGTTGGAAGTTTCAGTGAATTGATAGGTGAGGAAAAGATGCTGGTGATGGATCGAACACACTGAGAAAACCTGATAATAGTATAACTAGAATATCCTCTTCTGAAACCCACACTAGAAAAGAGGTAGAGAGAGAGATCTGAAACGTAGAGAAAATAATTAGAAACATTAACAACATGGAGGGAGCTGCAGGAGATTTGTTATCATCATCCTCCTCTTGGGATGTTGTACGTCATAAGTCTAATCTCCATTCTGTTCTATCTTGCACATTCCTTTCCATTTCAGGGATAGAAATCTTTGGCCTCTCTCATCAGCGAATAACAAACAAGAGGTTATATATTAAGCATTGTATTGGCTATTACTTTCCCAGAGAAACCTGAGGTACTCGTTTCAAGACATTTCACCCCCAGAACCATGCTGCCTGGCAAGTGACAGAATCCTGACATTTTAGAACTAACGAATTGACCGCCAGCACTGACCGCCACATTTCAGACAAAGATTTACTTTATTTCCTTTATGTCACGTTTTTTTAATTCTATAAAATAATTTTTTTTTATATAAAACCCAGAACAAATGCATATGTCACTTAGTAATGACAGCATTTACATACTTCAAGTTCAAAGTCTTGATAAAGAGATTTACAGTTTGTATATTTTTTATGTCTCTACCATCCATAAGTAACTAATTATAACATGTCTGGTTTTACTGAGAGGTAATGTTAGCTTCATCCTTACAATAAGTTTGAGAATTACTATTGAAAATGTATTTATACTTAGTATATAGTGTTCAGTATTTCAGGTTACATATACATAATCATGCTTTGCATGCTTTTCTTAACTGACTATGCTTATGTAATTCGGAAGATAGTATCTTTATTAGTGTATCATTTTATTCAACCTTGTTGTAACACATTTTTAGATTATTGTTTCTTGTTTTGTTTTTTTAAACGTCTGTGGTTTTGTAAACAACGTAAATAATGTGTATGTTTTTATTTGTCTTCTTTTCTCCCTTGTTTCCCCTTTGGGTTGCAGCCAGAAAGTTTGACTACCCTTAGATTAGTGTGTAGATGGGCTGGGAAATGTGAACAGGACCCACTAACCCTAACACCATCTTTACTTAGTAAATTGTGATGACAGCCTTAGCAAGTTATGATGTTACTATAAAATATTCTGATGCTATCTCTTCTTAGTCAGTACTTACAACACTTCACCAGATGCAGTTTTACTATAACGAGCATTCATTCCAGTCCTTTTCTGGTGGCTTTATTATTTCCTCTTCTTCTTTTGTCGTCTCACTGTTACCAGGTTGTAGCCCAGTGTCGTGGTTTTTCTGTATTTGTCGTGAGCTTCTCAGGGGCTTAAGTGATGAATTTGTTCAACTTGTTGCAGTAATCTGTAATGAATGGAAAAAAAACAAAAAGTTGTGGACGACTTCAACCTGCCACCAGGGCTTGGTTTTATTTGCGTCCTGGTGTCTTTGCGGTTTTTACTTTCTTGATTTCGGTGCGACGATGTCTCACGTCTTCCTATGGGTTTCCTTGCTGTTTTGCAACATTGACTTGTGTTGGGGATGGGCGGTATACTAGTCCTGAGAAGGACTAGCAGATTATGCCTAGCACGGCCTATGCGGGTGTGGGTGGGGGTGGATCTGGCTGTCGAGCAATCATGCCTGGCTGGTTTTTTGCAAGTGGGCTTTCCGGTCCGGTGAGCGTGGTTTGGTGTGTCATGGCGGCAACTTGTTGCAGTTTTCTTCTACACTATTTATCCATCTCTTTCTTGGTCTTCCTCTCGCATTCCTCCCTTTGACTTCCCAGGATTTCAATGGTACGCATTTACAGCTAGGTCCACCTGGAAGCCAAGGTCTTTTTTTTTCTTTCAAAGACCAGCTCCATTTGGATTTGAACCCATAACCTTCAGATCCACAGGTGAGCAGCTAGCCGCCACAACACAGCGGCTGCCGAATATAAAGAAGAAGAAGTTGTATTTCATGGGAACACACAAAATTAAATACTTATGGTCAGAAGAGACTAAGAATGAGAAGAGAGTAGTTAAAATAAACTGAAAAGAGACAAAGTGAAGTATTTTGGCCACATTAAAAGACTTAACTATTAAAAATCATACATGGAGGGAAAAGTTTAAGGTGAACGAGCAAGAGAGTGGACAGCGATACACAAGGAATGAAGGAATAGTGGTTTCAATGAAATTATAATCAGGATGATATACGGTGTGTTATGAGATTATAACTACAATGTTTTTGAGACCCATTGCGGCCTGCCTTAACTGTAGAGACGGCTCCTGGTTGATTGATTGATTGACAGTATATGTTTTAGAATTCTGTGACAGGCAAGAGTGGACAGCGATACATAAGAAATAAAGGAATAGTGGTTTCACTAAAATTATAACCTGGATGATATACAGCGTGTTGGAGATCTATTGCGGCCCGCCTTAACTGTAGAGACGGTATCTGGTTGATTGATTGACAGTATATGTTTTATATTTCTGTGAACTGGCAAGTGTTATGTCGTCAGTTATATTTATATGGTTCTTTTAAATATGTAAAACCATTCATTGTTATGTGACTATAAGATATATAAAGATTTCCTAACATTTTACAGTGAAAAAAGTACTGTTAAATTAATCATGGTAATTTTGTAA